CACAATCTCATTAGCAGGTCCCTTGGGGAGTTCTGAAATTTCTTTACTTGTAAATATAGGTTGTTGATTTTTTAGGATGAATATTTTGAGGCTTCCTGGAGGTTGCTAAAATACTCGAGGGTGTAAATTGTAATTTAAAAAATAAGACATTTGGTCTTCTATTAAGTGTAGTAGAAAATACTCAAATATTTTTGTCACTCTTCTTTGCTCCATCAATATATTGTCATTTGATTTTGTCATTGGATTTAAACTCAGGAGAGAAAAAATATTCAGGAAGATATTTGCATAGTTTAGACTTTTTGTGGCATAGGAAGGCCTTTAATGTTCAGGCATTATATTTACTTTTTAATATATCAGCAGTATTAGATTGAAACATTGGATAAGGATTAGTAATGTAATGCTTGATTGCCAAAGGTGGTGTACTAGATGAAATCTGAGGTGCCAGTCTTTGGCCATGACATACATGGCTACCACCCAGTATTAGCAACATTATTTACTTCCTAGTAACTATAAGTAATCAATAATTAGTAATAATTAGCCACAAATTATTAGTAATTATTAGTGTCAACTCTTCACTGCCAGTATTCTGGACTTCACATTGATAATCTTGATTGTTGGCTGCTCCCCAGAGCAACTTGTACCAGAGACACAGTGGCAAAATCTCCAGGAAATGGATACAGTGAGCTCAGAGAAACTGTAGTTGCTATCTCTAGCCTGATATGCATACTTCCTACTCCCTTGCAATCTCAGATGGTTCAGCACGGCACTAGAAAATGTTTCTGATGCATGGTCTAGTATGTACACTAGGAAGCAATAAAGTGTGCCCAAAATAGCATGAAAAAAATGCTTCTTCCAGAAACAGCAGATGGCAGTAATTATATCAGCTACAGTAAATTGCTGTCGGAGGAGTGCACTTTCTTTCCTCTGACTCCTACCTAACAGCTGATTGGGCAATAAGGTCCTACTTAGCAGCAATTTAGCGGGTTGCATTTCAATGCCACATCCCGGATTGGGGGGGGGGGGAAGCAGATTGGCTGCATTTATTGTTACTCTGCCTTTTTCACTGTGATTTTTGGAGATCAAACCAGTGGTGGATAAAATGTGTAATTGAAGTCAGAATCTCTGGGTTAGGTTTCCACTTTATGATCAGAAAAATAATATGTCTGGATCATAGATTTGGACCTAGAATTGACCTTAGAAGGTCTTCTAGTTAAATATCCTCACCTTTTTTTTTTCTTTGCTGTGGGGAAGAAATTGAGGTCCAAAAAGCTTATATTATTTGTTCAAGGTCCCACAGGTGGCATCAGGAAGAGCTAGGATTTGATCTCATGTACTCTTGTTTCTAAATCCAGGGTTTTTCTCTTCCACAATACTCTCTCACTTGCATAACAACCCCAACTCTCATTTTCCCCTTCTCCAAATAACCACTGCTTCTCAGCTCTCATGCAGGAAAGATGAGGCTCTTCATGATGACTTCTGTTTCTTCAAACCAGAGATTGAAAGGATAAGCATATGATCCATTCCCCTTTGCTCAATGTATACAGATGAAGGGTGTCCTTTGATTTGTGACTGTAGCCACTAATTTTACCTCTTAGCCAGTGGCCACAGTGAAAACTTATCTTGCTTCTGATTGCTGTTTGTGGTCATCATCTAAAGTGTGGCCTGGATGTGTGCAAATTCTGTAGCAAGCTTTCTGCCTTATTGTCCATCAGTAAACTAGCCTTTGTGCTGGTAAGGGAGCAAAATTCAGTGTCAGATAGTTGCTGTAGTGTAGCAACTCTTGGTATGAATGAGGAATGTATAAAGTGTTTTAGCTTTTTGGAAGAAATTTAGTGTACTAATGCCAACTGGTATTTTAACATAGGAACAGAAATCTAAATCTGTGCAATTGGATCATTGTATTGAATTTGTTTAAAACCCAACATTCATAGATCTTTAAAATTTCACTGAATCAAATCTTAAGGCCTTTGGATTGATGGTAATTGAAGTTTAGTTTACTTCTAAATATATCAGTTGTGATCATTGTTCAGTTGTGTTCAACTCTTTGTGACCCCATTTGGGGTTTTCTTGGCAAAGATACTGGAGTAGTTTGTCATTTCCTTCTCCAACTCATTTTATAGATGAGGAAACTGAGGCAAACAGGGTGAAGTTACTTGCCCAGGGTAACACAGCTAGTAAGTGTATGATGTCAGATTTGAACTCAGGTCCTGTTGACTCCAGGGCTGGTATGCTATCCAGTACACCACCTAGCTGTCATGGGGAGTGAAATGCCATTTCTGTTCATACTTATAATAGGCTTCTAAGAGTTAATTTTGATAGAAATGATTAGAGATCTTGATTTATAAGAAATGCAGTGATTGAATATACTGATTCACAGGGAAGGAAAGAGTCACACAGAACTTGATTTACATTCTTCAGAGGGAAATAACTTAGATTGATTTTGTACAGGTTCTGATTGCTTGTCAGTGGTTAAATTTCAAAGGAAAAATATATGTCCTCTAGCAATTCATTGAATTATATTAAGAACATTAACACAATCTAATTTGAATTTATTTCCCTGAAGCCAGGGCCACTCCTCTCTCTCTCTCTCTCTCTCTCTCTCTCTCTCTCTCTCTCTCTCTCTCTCTCTCTCTCTCTCTCTCTCTCTTTCTCTCTTTCTCTCTCTCTTTCTCATTGCTTATATGTAAGCAATATTACAGGAAAGATAATAATTCAGAATTCAGTTGGTGATTCAGAAAGAATTACCAAGTCAGAATTTGAGATTTAGAAGACTCGCTAGTCCAAGTCATACATGAAAGGGATCCCTGTTATAACAAACTTGACAAATGGTGGTCCAGCCTCTGCTGAAAGACTTCTGTTGAAGATCAATCCTCTTGAGGAAGATCTTTAACCTTTTAGTCTGTTCTGTTTGTTAGGAGGTTTTCCCTGTCATCAAGTCCAATATTGCATCTTTTCTCCTGATCCTGCCAAATAAAACAATTCTAATCCCTTTTCCATATCACAGACTTTCAAATATTTGAACACAGCCATCATGTCTAGCCCATGACTTCTCTTTTTCCAGGCTCAATATCCCTAATTCCTTCAACAGGTCCTCATGTGTCAGGGACATAAGGCAACCCTTCTTGCCAGCTTCTGATAATCTCCAGCCAATCAATTTCCTCCTTAAGCTGGGGCACCCACCATATAGTACTCCAGATAAGATCCCACAAAGGCATATTATAGGGGAAGTGTCACCTCTCTATTCTTAACCCCAAAGCCACTCTTAATTCAGCCCAAGATTCCATTTTTTTCTGAGGGGGGAGAGGGACTTTTCACACTGCCAAATTTATTTTACTGTGTTCTATAAAACATGAACAGGAATGCATTTGCTTTATGTAATTTGTAATGCTTGTTAGTAGTAGCAACCATAATTTTCTGGAATTTTAGCACTAAAGTCACATAATATCCTTACTATTCATGTGGAAGGGGAATTTCTGCTGCCTGAAGTAGAATTTAAGTTTTTGTTCTCTAAATAGCCTGGCCACAAATGGGAAATAGTAACTGGCTTTTATTTAAGGAGTGAGGATTCTCTCTTTGATGGTACATTATCACTTCCACATTGCAGGGGTAGGGGTGTGGCACCCCCCACAATCTGTAAAATCCAGGTAAACTTTTTGGCCCTCCCTTAGTTACCAGAGAAGACTGAATTTTTTATTTTTCCTTTATAGGGTATTTCCAGTACCTTATTGTAAAATTTGGGTTAAGTATTTGATCATAGGCTCTGGGTCACCTGCTGGCCTTTGCCTGTCATCCGCTGCATCCACAAAACTGCCCTTAAATTCCCATTTAATTTCTTATGCCAAACTGTAATATATTGAAACTGCAAAGCCATGATGTAGAAGAGATAACTGTAGAGTTAACTCTAATAGGCTAGCTGATTTATAAGCTTGTAGGATTCGAGATTTACTTGGAAGTTCAATCCTAGTCCTGCACATTTATTTTACAGTTTAAGGAAATAAGGTCAGTTGGTGAGCTGAAGGCCAGGCCACTACTTCAGCATCTTAAATGGGATCCAAATATGCATTTTCCTATCTCCAAGTCCAAGACCTCTCTTCTCCTCACTACACCACACTGCCTCTTAAAGAAGTAGAAAGGCTTCCTCCTTTCTCCTTAGGCTTGGTGGGATTTACTGTAAAAGAGGCTATCGATTCCTAGCCTGAGACCAAGTATGCCTTATAATTTGGAAAATGGCATAATTATCAGTGTCTTGAACTCACAGTTGTTTATATACATGCTAAATCATTTTTTAAAGTTCCATTTAAGTTGTCTAAACCTGAATTCTTTGTTAAATAGCTCTAGTCCCATAGTCTAGTCCCAAGTGTAGGCCTTCTTGAGGGTAGAATACTGGACTGGCCAGGATGAAGAAAACTTAGGTTTCAGTGCCTCAGATTACTAGTAGTGTGACTTGAGCAAATTATTCCAACATCTGACCCCTAATATCCTCATCTGCAAAGTGTGGATAATAAGAGTACGTATCTTATATGGTTGCAGATCAAGAGAGATAATGAATGTAAAGTGCTCTGAAAAGTCCTATAGAAATGAGAGTTCTAATCTCAGATGGGAGAGTGGGCATCTACTGATCATTTAATTCAGGCCAAACTGAAGCATGGATCTCCCCTATGATGTCTCCAATATCAATGGGCACCAAGTTTCTTGAAGACTGTCAGTGGTAGCAAGCTCACTTCCTCTTGAATTAGCCATACTTGGACAAGTATTGTCCATACTTGGATAGCCCTAATTATTAGGAAGATTTTGCATTTATTGAGCTAAAATTGGACTTGTTTTCACAGAAACTAAGCAGAAGCAACCATTTTGAATCCTATCCCAGATTATATCCAAGAGTAAATGATACACTTTGATTTGTTTCCTATTATATCCCATGTAAAGTATGAACTATTTATCTTATCCATTTATAAGAAAAATGTAGATTTCTATTTGACAGTATTTTATGTTGATTCTAGGGAGCATGACTTCGGCCACTTCACCTATCATTTTAAAATGGGACCCCAAAAGTTTGGAAATAAGAACACTGACAGTGGAGAGATTGCTGGAACCTCTTGTTACACAGGTAAGACAATTTGTCTTTTACATTCACATGGCTCTGTCTTCATTATGTTGTAACTTGTGAGAGAAATTAGAAGTGTTGTTAAAAGAGAAACCGACTGTCCTCTCCTTTTTATTTGTTACCGAGCCATTCATTGAACATTGTTTATTATTATTTCAGACTACATTTTGCAAGATCTGCTTGATCAACTTCTTGGCCAACTGGGATTTAAAATTCTTTTTTTTTTTAAAGTCACCCATATGAAAGCATATGATTCATGGAATTAATTTGTTAAGATAATTGAGTAGAGCTACTGGACCTGGGTGAAAGGGGACCTCATTTGCAGTCCTGAAATCAAAGTCTATATAAAAGATTTCTTCCTCACTTTTAAATGCAAATGCATAGCTAGGAAACAGTGTTTATAAGCTGAACATTATCTATTGAATTTCCCTTCAGTTGACAAAGCAGCATTCATTTCACTGAGATGTTGAACTGTCCTTTTCAGAGTTATCACACCTTGCCATATTTCATCAAGATGACTGTCATCATAAAAAAAATCTCAAAATGTTCCAGTTTACCTAGCTCATTTTGCAGGACATTTTGGCACAGAAAAAATTTTTTTCTTATGGGAATTGTCCAGTGCCTGGACTGGGCTGGATGGTCCTGGTAATCCCCAAGTAGTGACAGTGAGGGAGTTTGCTTTTGTAACATGTTATAAGAAGTAGTTTTATGCACAATGCAGCAATACTGTATATTATTATTGAGAACAATTCTGTGGATTTTCATAAGAACTTATATTTTATCATTATTTACATTGTACTTATAAAAAGTCCTTTTGCTAAACTCCCTGCTCCTGGAGGCATATGAGGATATGTTCAATCTCTCACACTTGGTTCTCACCCTAGGAGTTCTACTCCTGCCAATTGCATCTGGGATTGCATAAAATGGTAGAAGAACAGAGGTCCTTCTCCTCCCTCTTTGCCTCCATCAGTCATGATCTGTATTTGTCAGAAACTGTACAAACTTGTGAAACATCAAGCAGGAGGCTTTACCTTGCCATAACTTGAGCCCCTAGCTTCTCTCTGTTCATTTATATTGGTGTCTGGCCTCAGTTTCCTATGGAAGAGCTGGAAATGAGAGTTGTCTGCAGAAGACAGCAAACATGGTGGGAACTTATCAGACAACTTAGATTTTAAAAAGTTACATAATGAAGGTGGAGGTAAAGCTAAGCAGTGAAAGATGGGCAGGAGTGTGGTACAGGTGAGGAAAAATAATGTGAGGAATGCTAATGCTCAAAATGCATTGAGGTTGGTGAGGAAAGTACACAGCCAAGAGTGACTGCTGTTTTTAAGGCTTGTGTGGTGCTTCATCCTACCTGCTTGTAGAAGACCATGCCATCAGGAAGATGATGCCATGACTTGCAATTGAATTGAATTTGAGTGAAGGAGGTCTCTGCAAAGTCACCAGCCTCACTTTCTCCTCCAGAGCCATGTGGGTCCAATAGCCAGATATCAATCTGGACATCTGGAGATGGCCCAGGATGCAGTGGGGCACCTTAGCCTTTTTAAGCTAAGATCTTTACAAGTTCTTACTTTGACTGAGGCAACACCTATTCAGTGATTAGATCTGTTTAAGAAGTGAATCAAAGGATGGCCCATTTAATTAAAAGAAAATATCAGACTGAGAGGGGAGACCCTCCTGGTTGCTGGCTGAAAGAGAAACAATTACTATTTGCATTCACTCTGACCCACTGGGGCCCCCAAAATAACCTTTAAGTGGTGCTTGGGCAGGGACCTATTGTTGGCTCCTCTTTAAAGGTATCTTATGGACAAAAGAGGATGAGAGAAGGGGTAGCACTGCTTCTTAGAAAGAAAGCAGAAATACTCAGTTGAAAGTTTTACTTTTTGTTTCTTTGCCAAAGAGAATACCTTTTATGCTGGATATGACAGGAAAAAAAAAGACTAACATTGGCAATACCTGGAGAGGGTAAAAGGGCGGGTATGTGGCACAGTGAATAGAGTACCAGGCCTGGAGTCAGGAAGACCTGAGTTCAAATCCAGCCTCCAACTCTTACTAACTGTGTGACTCTGGGTAAATCACTTAACCCTGTTCGCCTTAGTTCTTCATCTGTAAAATGTGCTGGAGAAGGAAATGACAAATCACTGTGGTATCTTTGCCAAGAAAACTCAAAATGGGGTCATGAAGAGTCAGACATGACTAAATTGATGGAACATCTGCCCTTGATGAATTAAGGTCATAGACAAATCAAAAGACTGGGGTTGGCAGGAATGTCAGAGATCCTCCTGCTTCACTTGCTTCATGCCTCTTTGGCAAGATCACCCAGCATTCAAACTGTACTGCAGAGAGTACAGCTCCAATGGGCTGGCCACATAGCCCAAATTCCAAATGTCCTTTTACCTAAAGGACTATTTTACGTAGAAGTCACACAAGGCAAGAACTCACATGGACATCAGAAGAAATGGTGCAAGGACACTCTCAAGGTCTCCCTGAAGAACTTTAGTATTGATTGGGAGACATAGGAGACATTGACACAGGACCATCCAGCATGGTGGACCAACATCAAAGAAGATGCTGTGCTTTATGAGCAAAGCAGAATTGCAGCAGCACTGTGACATGTACACATCAATTTAAAAAGAGACTATTTGTGCCAGACCTCTGGTGGAGCCTTCTGAGCTCATGTTGGACTGATCAGCCACAGTGGAACTCACCGGACCTTGACTCCCAAGTCATGATGTCACTGGGCCTCTTCAGAAAGAGGAGGAATGACAAACAACTTCAGGCTCCACTCTCCTTGACTTATGTGTTGTCTTCTCCCATTAGAATATAAGCTCCTTGAGGGTGGGGATTGTCTTGTTTGCAAGTTTTCAAAGCACTTGTTTGGCTACATTTAACACAATTTCTAGTTCAGATTAAGTGATTAAAAATTCTCTAGTATAACTCCCTCATTTTACAGATGAGAACACTGAGGCACTGAGGGCTTGAAAAGACTTGCCCAAACTTACCAAGATACTAAGTACCTTGTTTGAAGTCCATAACTCATCCTCCAAGGTCAGAGCACCAATTCTAATCATCACAGCCAGAACAAGTGTCTTTTGTTACTGAAAGAATGAGAAGTTAATAGAGGCATTATCAGTAATATTTCAAAGTTCATGGAGAACACAAGAGGTGCTTGCTGATCATGTCCAATTGAGTTGGTGTTCAGTTCTTTGGTAGTATCCTGACTCTTTAGGACCTCATTTGGGTTTTCTTGGCAAAGTGGTTTGCCATTTCCTTTTCCAGCTCATTTTATAGATGAGGACCTAAGGCAAACAAGGTGAAGTGACTTTTTGCCCAGGGTCACACAGCCAATAAGTGTCTGAAGCCAGATTTGAACTCAGGAATGAGTCTTCCTTGCTTTGGGCCTGGCACTGTATCCACTTTGGCCTTCTAGCTGCCTATGCAACTTTCAGCATTGAGAAGGGCACATGTGACTTCTTTTTTTAAGCAAGGGGGAAAGCAGAAAAAATCTGTCAGTTCCTTTAATTTTTGGAAAAATTCTAGAGCAGATTATTAAGGAGAGATTTAGTCAACATCTAGAAAAGGAAAAAGTGATTGCAAAGAGTCAGCATGATTTCACCAAGATCCAATCATGACAACATAACTATTTCATTTTGACAGGGATCTTGAAATGGTGGATTAGGGCAATTTTGTAGGCATCATTTATTTCAATTTTAGTACATCAAGTGTATTTGTAGAAAAAAAGTGGAGAGATGCAGGGTAAACAGTGATGCCTATAAATGAGTTTGAAGTTGGTTGAATTGAAAGACTGAAAGAGTTTTTCAGTGTCAGTTTGGCATGGGATCTCTTCTGGTGCTGTTTAACATTTTAATCATTGACTTGGATAAAGGCAGAAGTGGCATACCTATTAGATTTACAGATGGCACAGAACTGCTAGAAATAGCTAACATGCTAGAGAGTGGATCAGCATGCAAAAAAGGTTTTTTAGGCTAGAACATTGTGTCAAATCCAAAAATGCCTTCAGTAGGAGGAACTATATGGCCTTACTCTTGGATTCCTAAGTACAAAAATGGCAGAGCCATGATTAGACCAGTGAGGGAAGCGGGGGTTAGCTCTCAGAGGAGTAGTTAATATGATTTAGTTGTATGATATCATAGCCAAAAATATGAATATGATCTTGGCTGCATTAAGCAAGGAAGATCTATCAGGAAAACAAGGAAGTGATGGTCCCACTGTATTCTTTCCCACTTGCAGAACATTGAGAAGATCATGCCCAGTAATCTTGGGGATTTCCAAAGGGGCGCAATCAGGATGGCAAAGGACATTGACTCCATATGATATAAGGATCAGTTGCGGGAACTGGAGATGTTCTGTTAGAAAAAGAGACGATTCAGGAATGGGGAACATGATGGCTGTCTTCAAGTATTTGAAAAGGGCTGTCATTGGGAAAAGACTGTTGGCTTGGTGTTAGACATTAACATATATGCTCCTTGAATCCAGGGTCAGGGTCACCTTTGCATTTGTGTCTGTAATGCCTGGCATGCACTAGGCACTTAAGAAAGATTTATTAATTGAATAACCTCTTCCATCCCAGAAAGGAGAAGTAGGACCAATGGGTAGAGGTTCGACAAGGGCAAATTTGCTTTCTAATAATGATTTACCCCAAAATAGAATTGGCTACATTGGTGGAATTTATAGGTACTTGCTCAAAGGACAGAGGACTCAATAAAAACTTGAATACATAAGATAGTGGGATCCTTTTATGGTATAAATCGGACCACTGAAGTCCAATCTAATTATTAAATTTTGAGATTTTGTCAATGTAGATTAATAGCTAACTTAAATATTGAAAAAACATGCCTTATGGGAATTACATACATAGCATGTTGTACTTCTCAAATATTTTGTGTTTTTTTAGTTAGATGATTTTTTTTAGCAATGTTATGGGTCTCCATTGCCTTTCTGTTATCATCTTTCCAAGCAATGGAATTAATAGACACATAAGC